GAAGAAAGCAACTGGGAATCAGAGGTGTATGACCATATGAACAATCCTTATGGAAACAGCATTTGTTGTAGGGACCTACCTTTTAGCTAAGTGAGATGACTGTGTTCCCCACTTGTGCTGGTTTTAACAATAAATCACTCAGATGGAGATTATTGTTACATTTTTTCTGAAACTTGATGTACTTATGTCTTTACTTGTGGAGACTTCAAAAACCAGGTTCTGTCTGCTATAGAGAGTCATTAAAGAACCCGTGGCACTCTTTATAAGAAGTGGACGTTTAGCCTTGGTTTCCAAGGGCCAAAATTTCTCCTCCCCACACCGCTCTACAACCTGCTGTGCACTGGCTGGTTGCCATCTTCAAGTGGAAGGAACGTTTGTATTTTGTATATACAGTTAGTATGCTATATTTTGGATAGATGGTACATGTGTGCATAGACTGTGATGTAAGAAATGGGCCACTTTATTATTAGTTTATATTTAAATCAGCAGATGAGCACTGTAAAGCCCATATGTCAGACATATGTCACTAATACAGACTTTGTTATAGATCTAGAGGTAGCTGCATTTCAGTGTTACCCTACATATGTAGAACCAAATGCAGAGTTCCCTACTCATTTTTTATCCAAATCTGACACAGTTGAACTCAGTGAGAGTTTGCCCAAGTAAGGGCTAAGTGAAAACAGAGTTGGGATTTAAGGATTAGGCCCATTACTTATAAATGGAAACAGAAAAATAATGTCTGTGTGCATAATATCACACAGAATAACAGAGATGTATAATATGTAGCATACAGTCTTTGCAGTAGAGATGCTATAGCTGTGATTGAGATGGCCCTTCCATTCTTAAACCTTATTTTTCATCTCCTCACTTTCAGCCTCAATGGTAATTTTCTGAGAAATATTTCATGATCTGTCTCAACAGTTTGAAGCCAACGTGTTTCCCTTTTTTGCAATCATCTAAGCATGAATGAAAAAGAATCTTTAACCACTTAAGACATTTTAAAGATTTCTTTCTGTCTCTCTCTTTCTCTTTCTTTCTTTTAATATTTTGTATTTAGGCACGTACATGGTCCTGAATGAGTAGCTGGGGTTTGTCTTGGAAGAAATTTGGTTTTGAAATAAATGTTATGAACATTTAAAAATTATGTACTGTTCCTGCATGGTACATTATGTTCCTTGTTGCTTTAAGCACGTACCAATGTTCTGAATAGTCATAGCTGCAAATATTTATTTGCAAGATCATTTTCGTAGCCACCCATGAATCTAGTTGACTTGACAATAAGTAGAGGGGTCAAATTATAGCTGGAGACCTTTCTAGATATAATGTAGAAGACTTCTAAGCCCTCTTACAAGCTTTGACCATATGATCAGGGTGAGCTTTGCTCAAATTCTTTATCCTAGAACTATCACCCCCTGAAACTTTTTAACTTGGTTACCTGCAGAGTCGATTATTAAATTGTAATGCTCATGTAAATCCAAATAATGATATTGTAGATGTACAGGTGCATCATGAGATTGTGGAGTCACAGAAAATTAAAACTGAAGTGACAGTAGTTGGATGTTTGAAAGTGGTCTTAGGCTAAATTCATGACTAGTGTAACTCCATTAGTATAACTTGAAGCCATTGGAATTACACCAGGGTTGTGCTTGATTCAGTGTGACTGCTCCCATCTGATTTTTAAAAGCCAAGCAGAGTTGGGCCTGATCATTATTTGGGTGGGTGATTGCCAATGAGAAATCAGTTTGTCTAACACATGTATCTGTAGTGCACCAGAGTGTTGCTTTTGGGCCTCTTAGGATGACTACTGACAATAGACACAGATTCTTCTTTAGCATGATAGGTTACCCCACTGCCTTCAAATACCAGAGATCTCCAGTTAAATTTCTTGGTGAAAACGAGTGCTGACAAGTAAGGAAAAACTCATTTAACGTTTTGCAGAACATGGACTTCCTCTGTTCTGTATTTGCCATATCAGTGCAGGCTTTGCAATTTTGGTTTATTTTTGTCAGGTTTATTTTGCATTTATTTATTAGATGAATTTATTATTGTTATGGGTGAGATCATATTTTCATCCTAAGCACCAATTTTCAAGAGTTTACCACTTTCACAATAAATAAATAAATTGAAGCTGAAGTGTCTAATATTTCTTCTCAGCTCAGAGGTGAATATTATTTTGGAAGATATGAAAAAAATAATTTTTTGGTTTTTTAGGACTGGACAATCAAAGACACTTCTGATTAATTACTAAAATACATTATTTTTTCTATTTCTATTTTAATTTTTAGAGTTTAATAAAAATATAAGTTATAAGCAACTAATTTCCTTAAAGTAATTAAATTTATAAATTTTAATCTAAAAAAGTCCAAAAAAATCCATGCAATGGTTTCTGTAACCACTGTAACTCTGCCACATTACAGATGCCACTCTCTTCTTAACACCTCTTATATCCTCCTTTTCATAAGCCTGGGAAAATACTTAGGCTTCTAACAGGTGCCCAAAAAAACTCAGATCCAAACACTCCTGAACATTTGAAATCATAGGGAATGCAGATCCATATTTTGTGGTTTGAGCCCATCTCTGCTGAAAAAGATAACATTTAATTTCCAGACTTTTGTGCAGTTAAGTTTGCAATCATGGCATTGCATTTAAGATAATAAATCAAAGTGTGTTCCTGATCCTGTTCCCACTGGAGTCAATGGGAGTGGAACTGGATCCGTTGGGTAAGAGTTCTCATAGCATTTTCCAAAAACTTATTTTATGTCAGATGGCCTTTACAGTTTTGACTGTCTGGAGAGCAGTGAAGAAATTAGTTACCTAGAATATTTTGTGTGCATTCTCTTGAATAGCATGGATCATTAAACTCTTTCACCTGTTAATCTCAACTACATATCCCATAAAGCTTGAAGAACTAGTATGAGAAACAATTTTTATTCCCTCCCCCATAAAAAAGTTGTGTGATGATTTTTCTGGCCAGAAAACCAGAAAATACCAAAGAAAATTGTGTGTGCGTATGTAGGAAGGTGCCAGAGTCTTCTCCAGTGAGGAGATCAGCTGTTCTTGTCTTTTTCTTTTACTTTTTTTTTTATTTTGTTTGTCACTTTTTTTTTTGGCTTGCTGAAGCATATCCCCATAATCTTCAGAAGCCACAGCAAATTCCCAGTGCCACAACAACACTGTACAGCTGGAGAGAGGAAAACAGAGCTGATCAGCTGCAGGCTTCCCCACTAATGAAATGAGCCAGCAGGCTGCTCTGCATTTTACGTACTGTTCCTGCCTGTGTGCTGCAGGGCCACAAGGGTGTACAGTACATGGAATTTTTCCCTCTGTAACTAATAACTTTTCCCCTCAGGGTCCAATCTTGCAACCGCTCTATGCATGGAATTCCCACTAAAGTTAGTGGGAGATCTGTGTCCTGAAGGCCTGGTTGAAATGGGCGCTCACTGATCACATGGCCTCTCCATGCTAACACAGTCGAAGGTCCAGTCTATTTATCTGTCTTTTTCTGAAGGAGATATTCATAAAGAGAAAATATAACATATAATGTGAAACGTAAGCCTGCATTTTGCAGCCATACTACCTTGTATTTTGTTCCTTTCAGCCAGGATCAGGCTTGGCCTGTATTTGGGCTGGAGGACCTTCATGACATACACGTGCACTGCAGAAAGTGGAGTCAGTGACTTGAGTAGGGGACACTGTTGTGTCTGATCAGTATTGAACTAATGCTCCAGCATGATGGTGGGGGGTGATCTGTGGTGCTGGAAGTGCTGTCTTTTGGATGGAATGTCAAATAGAGATTTAGGCCATTTGTGTCCTGTCTCAAAAGCCTCAGTGGGTGCAGGAAATTGATGGGGCTGGCAGTGAAGGGGGGACAGTCCCAGCAGCAAGGGAGGGGACATTTGCTGAGGGAGACCAGGTAATTCCTCCCACCCCCAGGAATCTCTGGTACTAATTGGCCAGCATTCCCCAGCTCCTAGGATTCAACCTGGAGTAGGGACAATGTGTAGTCTCTTTCAACTCCATTGCAGCACCCTTCCCCCCTCATCTGGCCAAAGGGTGTCAGAGAGTCTCGGAGTCTCGGAGGAGAGGAGCTGCCTGGTGTCCCTCAGAGAGTGTCCCCTCCCTCACTATTAGAACTGCCCACCTTCTCCACCGGCCCCATCAGGTTCTGCCCTCGTTGAGGCAGGTGGTTGGCATTTGTGTCCTGACTAAATATCAATTGTGGTCATTGCATTCTGCCTCCTTAAATTCCCCCTGAAGTTTCAATTGGAACTTCCTGATGTGAACTGCTGGAAAAGCGTTGCTGGGTATTGTTAAACAGCTGCCAGGGGGGATATGGTAGAGGTTTATAAAAACATGACTGGTGTGGAGAACGTAAATAAGGAAATATTATTTACTCCTTCTCATAACACAAGAACTAGGGGTCACCAAATGAAATTAATAGGCAGCAGGTTTAAAACAAACAAAAGGAAGTAATTCTTTACACAGCGCACAGTCAATCTGTGGAACTCTTTGCCAGATGATGTTATGAAGGCCAAGACTATAACAGGGTTCATAAAAGAACTAGATAAGTTCATGGAGGATAGGTCCATCAATGGCTATTAGCCAGGATGCACTAGATGCAAAACCATGCTCTGAAGTGTCCCTAGCCCCTGTTTGCCAGAAGCTGGGAATGGACGACAGGGGATGGATCACTTGATGATTACCTGTTCTGTTCATTCCCTCTGGACACCTGGCATTGGCAACTAGGTGAACCATTGGTCTGACCCAGTATGACTGTTCTTATGTTATCTCCCATCTGGAGATTGCTGCATTTCAATGATGAATAAAACGAAATATTTGGGAATCCAATCAGGATGAAATGTAAGCAATAATATTATCATTAACACACTGCACTTCTATAGCATAATTGAATTAAAGATGACAAAATGCTTTATAAACATTAATGATTTAAGTTCCACAACACCCAGATGATGATTGTAAGTATTATCTCCATTTTACAGATGAGGAAACTGAGGCACAGCAAGTTTTGAGTGACTTGTCTAAATTCACACAGGAAATCATTGGCAGAGCCGGGAAGATAACTTGGGAATCCTGGATCACAGGCCCATGCTCTAACCACTAGGCTACGCTGCCTCTCCAAATGTAAGTTGTTGTTAACATATAGTTTCTCTTTCACATGAACTGTCATCTATTATATTGCCACATTTGCTTATAGTTACCAAAGCTATTTGTGTTTTAAATAGTGATTTGCACACTCACAGCTCTGTCTTTATTTAACCATGCAATGGAGCAGGGATCGGCAACCTTCAGCACGCGGCACGCGGCACGCCAGGGTAAGCCCCTTGGTGGGCCAGGCCAGTTTGTTTACCTGCCACATCCACAGGTTTGGCCGATCACGGTTCCCACTGGCCGCGGTTCGCTGTTCCAGGCCAATGGGGGCTGCAAGAAACCAGGGCCAGCACATCGCTCAGCCCATGCCACTTCCCGTAGCCCCCATTGGCCTGGGATGGCGAACCACGGCCAGTGGGAGCCGTGATCGGCCGAACCTGTGGACGCGGCAGGTAAACAGAACGGCCCAGCCTGCCAGGCGGCTTACCCTGGCGGGCCTAAGGTTGCCAGTCACTGCAATGGAGTCATGATGTTGAGATCTTGGCAATAGTATTAATACTTTGTAAGCTCAAAGCACTGTATAAATGTTGTAGAAAGTTACAGCAATGCCATACATCCAAAATTTGGAATGGGTCTAAGCAGGGCTTGAAAAATTCATTCAGCTCGGGCTAGTAGAAAACACAGCTGGGTGATTGTCAAATCTTGAGTTCTTACACTTTTATGTTTTAAACAAAATCTACCCCTTATGGTTATGAAGATAATCTTCCAAATGGAAATTCAGTTTAAATCAAGGTCCTGTTGATTTCATAAGTCCGCAGTCTTACAGGTGTGTTGCTGCTGAAAGCTTTTCCAAGCTGCAGAGGGGTAAAAACTGATCGGTCTTGACAGTTTTTGTAGCTGCAGGTGGGAACCTTTGTGAAGCTGACAAGAATCAGGTCAGTTTCAATCTGAGGCTCTTTGGGAAAAGCTCTGAGTGGCATTGGAATTGTGCACAAGGGAGGAGCATCTAAAAGTGGAGGTTGTGGAGGGGAGTATATTAATGGAGATGCCCATCACTGCCACTCTTTCAGCAGCTGACAGGCTCTGGGGTGGGAGAGGATAGCCAAGAAGTAGGAAAATTCTCCTAATAGTCAAAAGGAGCTGGGTGATTTTTATTTATCAAACACTTACTAGCTGGAGGCTTCAAAAGATAAGACTACCAAACAGAATCCAGAGATAGCAAGTTGGGCAGTGTCTTGGCTTCTCCCTGGGGCATTGGTTGAAATATATTCAGAGATATTAAGGCTAGAAGGGAGCATAATGACAGTCTAACCTGATCTGCAGACACAGGCCATAGAACATCACCCAGTGATTCCTGCTTCAGACCCATATCTTCTGGCTGAGCTACAGCATATCTCTTAGAAAGACATCTAATACATCTTGATGTATAAACTTCAAGTAATGGAGGCTTCACCACACCCCTAGATCATATGTTCCAATGGTTAGTTATGCTCCCTGTTAAATATTTACTCCTTTTTTTCTAGTCTGAATGTGTCTACTTTCAGCTTCCAAACACTGAATCTTGTTATGCTTTTGTCTACTGGATTAAAGAGCCCTCTGCTGTCAGAAAGTGGTTCCCCATGTAGGTATTCATAGTCCTTAGCTTGGTCTTCTGGCTGTTAGATGTCTGCTGAACTTTTGAAGCCAGATGTGCAGTTGAAGGATTGGGGGTGAGTGTGTAGGTAGAGTTAGGTTGTGGGTGGGGAGGAGGGTGTAGAAGGGGAAGGTGATTGATGGGATAGAAAAGAGAAGCAGCATACTTTGAAAGAGATTTTTTTCCCTAGGTTGGCAAGGTGGAAAAGAGAAAATTTAAAAGGTGGAAGTCCCACTGGAGAGAAGGGAAGGGAAAGGGATATAAGGGGTTGGAGGGAGAGAGAAGCATCGGAAAGAAATAGAGAAAACAATGTGAAAAGAGAGACATCATGAGCTATTACAAGCAAAAAAAAAGCGGGGAGGAAAGTGAAATGAGCCAGTAGTGTCAGAAGGTACAACACAAAAGCATGAGAGACAGAGTAACTTATGTTAAAAATATAGCAAGATGATTAACAATCTTATAATTTGGTAGAGTGCACAATAAATGGCAAAGTATTATTTTAAAATGAAGGGAATGTGGCTTTACATGTATATTTCAGCCTGGCTAATAGGGACTTAGGGCCATATTTTAAAGGTGTGTATATATACACCTTAACAAGGACAGCCTTTAGGCTCCTAAGTCACTTAGACGCTTTTGAAAATGGTGTCTCTAGTGCTCAGATTAGTAGGGGACTCGTACATTTTTCAACCCATGGCCTGAACACAAATGCCAATTTGGGAAAATTTTGGATCTCAGCTTTGTGACTTGGGCCCATCACTGCTCAGGATTAAAGTCCTGGCCTTCAGGATCTAACAAAAGTGAAGCTGGCTTAGAAGGGAGAAAGCATTTCTTAATACACAGCTATCTTCATTAAGAGCAAAGGGACCAAAGAAGTGAGCTCTCCAAGTAAATCTGTCTATGTGTAAATGTTATTTTGATTTTCAAGTTTGTTCTGGCGTGAATACCTTGCTGTAGTTCTGAAATGGTATATTGGCTTTCCTCTAGAGAGCATGTTCTGGTGGTTAGGCTAAAGGATTTGATCTGGCTCCGTTCCCAACTGCTACAGACTCAGTGTGCAACCTTGTGCAAGTCATTTCACCTCTTTGTCTGAGTTTATTTAACTATAAAATGGGACTAATAGTTTTCTACCTCACAGGGGGTTATGACGCTTACTTCAGCAAGGCTTGTACAATGCTTTGAGATCATTCGATGCAAGCTGCTGTAGAAGGGCAAAGTGTTATGAATCTTTGATTCTCATGCAGTTAAGTATAGAGAAATTGGAATACTTAGATCTTTGCCTCTGATTCTCAGGCATGTCTATCTTGTATTTTTATTAACTTGTAAAATAAGTTTGATAACGCCTGTCAGTAATGTTATAAGAGTAGTGTGTGTGAAGGTAATAAATTCCACACATTGAAAGTAATGTATTACCACTCTTCTCTTCTTAAATTTTGATAAGATCATTTGGCCATGGTAGAACTAGGGTTGGCTTCTATTCAGAAAAAAATAGCGTTTTTTTAGAAGGACTTAGATTTCCTCTTGAAATCACAGGCCTGAGTCCTAACCAGACCAGGAAAATAAAGATGTTGAGACCAAATAATAATTTCTAAGCAGCTACTATAGAAGTGGTGGGGAACCTGCGGCCCGCGGGCCACACGCGGCCCATCAGGGTAATCCACTGGAGAGTCACCAGACAGTGTGTTTACATTTGCACAGCTGCCCACAGCTCCCAGTGGCCGCAGTTCGCCGTTCCCGGCCAATGGGAACTGCAGGAAGTGGCACGGGCCGCAGGGATATGCTGTCTGGCGGCCCACCAGCAGATTACCCTGACAGGCCTCAGGTTGCCTACCACTGTACTATAGGCTAAACACTGACACTGCTAATCTGGACCAATCAGTCTGACTTTTAAGAAGATACGTGCTTTTGTAGTACACTTAAAGGGGTAAAAAGCAACCTTTCAAACTGTCTTTGTATGGCTGACTTGTCTCTGATTTGAATGAAGTCCATGGAAGTAAACTCCACGATACTTATTCCTCGCTAGAAACTCATATCTGGGTTTTCTTGTTGATTGATGGATCACTGAGTGTTGTACTCCGACACTTTTCAAACACTGCTATCCCAGCGAATTTGTGTGAGCCAAAAAAGGCTCAGAAAGAGCAAAAAGTATAACTGATAAAAACATGAAAATCATTCCTAAAACCGTTACTGCCTGTCACTGGCATGGTGAGGATTTACATTCTGCTGAAGGCAATTTAAAAAAAGGAATGATCAATATACTTGGGGCCTAAACTAACAAGGAGAGAACAATGTAATCCATTCCCAGTGCTGAAACCCAACTTTTACCTGCACAAAGTACTGCTCCAATGTTTCCACATACTGTCCAGTGAGAGAGCTAACTGGAAGAGCTGGTGTGGGGAGGGTGAATGGTCAATATTTGCCTCAATTTTTTTTGAAAGAAATGAAAATGATCTAAATATTAGGAGAAATGTTTCCTTTTCTTGGCAAGAAAAAAAAACACACTGCACATTTTTTGGTTTAACTAAAAAAACAAATATTTGTGTCAGGTTTTGGTTTTATGTTGTTTCTGTTAATGTTTTATGTGAAAATTAGTTGCTTTTTAATTTTGATTAAATGAAAATTTTCGTTATAAATTATTGTTTGGGAAAAATCATTTTTATAAATAAAGTCAAACATTAATTTTGACCAGTCCTTATGAATGGTCACTTACCATGAATAACTAACAAATAGTGCACCTGACAGAGTAAGCTTGACGTCAAGAAGAGTTGGTAGCAGTGGTCACTTTAACCTCGTTGCTGTAAGGTTGGTTTGGGTTAAGAGTGTGGATTAGGAAAATGACACTGCTTGTGAGGGTCATTCATTGTGAAGCGTGAAAGGAATGTGATAGCATCACTTCCTGTGCTGCTGAATACCATGGTGAAGGGGAGTATCTCATTCTGGGGTGCAATCCGGACCAGTGACAGGTTGTGTCACCACCTGCCCTGCAACCTTGGGTGCCTCACAATGCTTTGTTGCTGTAGCTCCCACCTGCGCTGCTCACAAACAGCCAAACAGCGTGCAGGTCACACTCTGAGCATCTATGGATAGCTGCAGCCCTGGGGTCCAGCAACTGTGACCCAGCAGCAACATACCAGCCACACTCTGGCTTCCAGCAGCCTTGGTAATCTCTTGCAGAGTGGCCCCAACACACTCCCAGTCCTGGATTTTCCCCCAAAATGTGTGTTCTGCACTGTCCAGCCCTCTCCTGGACAGTTCAGATATTATAGGTCCATTGCTGCTGTAAGGGATCAATGGACAACAGTTTGCTACTATAATTGGAGTTATTAAACATAGAATCATAGAATGATAGAGACCCCAGGAGGTCATCTAGTCCAACACCCTGCTCAAAGAAGGACCATCCCCA